TATCTTTACTATTTAATGCTTTATTTCTTTTTTTCTTTTCAGTATAGCACGTTGGTCACCCATTTAGCTGTATTTGAAGATTTGATAGCCGAAGCCGTCTTTTAAAGTTCCTTTCAAAACATATTAAGTGGATTTAAGCCTAGGCTCACAAGGCCGCCAAAAAAACACTTAGAGATAAAATAAACAGAGTCATTTGGATGATTATTTTGCTGTAAAACCAGAATATGCTGGAGCTCCAGATAATAAACTGACGATCTTTAGCATTTTCTGCCTAATTAATTCTGTTTTACAGCAAGACCTTTATATTCTGAAACAGGAAAACAGGCCCAGACCATTACATTAGTGTAATGTTTGCGTTTCCTTTTACTAAAATACTGTGTAAGTTTAACATTGGATGTAATAGCCTCTAAACTTCTCTCGTCAGTCCAAAGAATGGCCTTTTGTCAATATGTGTTCTTTTTTTGTTGTTTTTTCCCCCCCAAAACTAAATGAAAAAGTCATACTTTATTATTATCTAGAGATTATAAATATAATGAGGCGAAACACAGTTCCAGACTAGCTTTGAATGTGGTGATGTCCATATTCGCATTCTTGTGAACTGAGAAACGACCAATGTTTTCCTAAATAATATAATTCTGTTTGAAAATCTTCTTTAAGGCACCCTTTTCACGCAAATTCTAAATCTATTAACCAAAAATTGTGTTGACAGATTAACTGATTAGCATAAAAACAATAGTTGCAGCCCTGCTATAGATGATATTGGAGGTCTCAGTAATTTATTCTGGTGTCTTCTTGTTGAAGGAAGTCTTTTGTCGAGAGCTTTAAATCTAACATCTTTGCATTTCCCACTAGGATTTCTTCCAGAGATGACCAAACTGACGCTGCTGACACTAGCAGTGTTGCTCTGCTCATCACCGCCAGTAAATGGAGGAAAGGTGTTGGTGTTCCCAGTGGACGGAAGCCACTGGGTCAACATGAACGTCATTGTTGAAGAGCTTCACGCCAGAGGCCATGAAGTCACAGTCCTGCGTCCTTCAGACACCTGGTACATCAAGCCAAACTCCCCTCACTACAAAGCTATCACTATAAATTCCCCAGCTGGATTCGACAAGCAGAACTTTGGGACTTATGTCATGAACACAATAAAAATGAGACGTTACGGCTCTTCACTGTGGTCTCGCCTTTCCCTGGAGTATGACCTATTGCAAACCTTTTATCAAATGGGTAAGCAGGTGCTTCAAATGGTGGAAAATATATTTGAAGATAAAGAAATGATGCAGAGTCTCCGTGATGCCAAATATGATCTGGTTCTTACTGATCCTACAATAGGTGGAGGTGTGCTTTTAGGTCACAGATTGGGTCTTCCGCTTGTCTTTAATGTCAGATGGACGATTCAGGGTGAGGCGCATCAAGCTATTGCACCTTCCCCTCTCTCCTATATCCCCATACCAGGAACAGAGCTGACTGATAGAATGACGTTTATGCAAAGGATTGAAAATATTCTCTACTACATCTTTACGTGTTTCCAAATTTGGTACGTTGACGATCCACTCTATCCCCCCTTTGTCCATCGTTACTTTGGCAAAGACGTTCATTACATGGAGCTGTTTCAAGCAGCTGACGTCTGGCTGATGAGAAACGACTTCACCTTCGAGTTTCCACGACCAACAATGCCAAACATTGTCTATATGTCAGGGTTCCAGTGCAAACCCTCCAAACCTCTCCCTACAGAACTGGAGGATTTTGTTCAGAGTTCAGGAGAACATGGTGTCATAGTGATGACATTGGGGACATTGGTGGAACATCTTCCTGAAGACCTCACTGAGGACATTGCTGCAGCTTTTGCAGAACTTCCACAGAAGGTGATCTGGAGGCACAAAGGAAAGAAACCATCCACACTCGGAAACAATACCTTACTCTTGGACTGGTTACCCCAAAATGATCTCCTGGGTCACCCCAAAACTAAAGTGTTTGTGGCTCATGGGGGCACTAATGGAATGCAAGAGGCAATCTATCACAGAGTCCCTCTGGTTGGTTTGCCTCTCATGTTTGATCAGCAAGATAACTTCTTCAGAATGGCATCAAGAGGAGTGGCCAAAGTCCTTGACATTGCAACTGTGAATAAAGACATCTTCTTGGATGCCCTGAAGGAGGTTCTGTATAAACCTTCCTACAGAGAAAAGATGAAGGAGCTGTCCAGTCTTCACAGAGATCAGCCGATGAAACCTCTGGACCGAGCCATTTTCTGGATCGAGTTTGTTATGAGGCATAAAGGAGCAGCCCATCTGAGGACAGAGTCTTACAAGATGTCCATGATCCAGTATTTCTCTATTGATGTTCTGGCATTTCTACTTACCATTGCTTTGATACTCCTTACTGTTCTTATTTATCTCGTCAAGTTTCTCTGGAGGAGTCTTCTTTATAGAAGAAAAGCTAAAGAGGAATGATGAACATGCTTCCAGGCTGAAGCAAATATATTTGATCATTTCAAACACTGCGGCTTGTATACGGTGATTTCAAATGAAGGACAGTATTTCACAGAAGCAAAGACAAAGAAGAATGAAAATGAATGAATTAATGAAAAGGTGCAAATTAGTGTTTAGATTATACAACTTTCCTCATTTAAATATTTTGTTTTTAAATCATGCATTCAGAACAATCAGAAACAAAATTTACTAATATTATTAAATATAAATTAGATATGCTATTTTGTGAAATGTTGTGAAATGTACTCAGCAGCATAAACAGTAGTAGCAGATTTATTGTTTAGAGTTTGTTAAACATTAATAGAATCTGAAGGAGGAATATATGAAGGACAAATAGTATTGAGAAAAGTGATCATACTTTTTTTGCAAACATAATTCCCTTATTCGTTGTAATTTGTAAGTTTTTATTATTTCAATTTTTTATTTTCCTAAGGAACAATTGAGTTAAGATATGTTTTTGATACGGGAACATGTATTTCTAGGTAAAATAAGGCATTTAGACAGGAGTAATTAGAGTTTTTGTTGTATAAGAACCTAAAAAAATTTGTTGTAATAACAAGTAAGTGGTTCTATAGAGGATAAGCTCTTTATGGTTTGTTTCAGTGATATTTTAGCAACGTGTTTAAAGAAAATGTAAATGTTTTTTTGAAACAACTGAGCTTTATTCTATAGAAACTGCCTTAGAAAAGGGAGCCTGATGTTTTTCTTGTTCCTATAAAAAGCAAAATGTCTCTGTATATGTATGAATCACTGAAGGATAAGTCTAATTTAATAAAATTCACCAAAAATTACATTTCATCCTAACATTTGTCATTAAAGCTGATGTTTTATTTTTAATTATTAAACCCGTTTGGAGGCAAACCCTCCAATGACATAACACTGTAACAAAACTATAAGTATTTGGATTTAAGGACGAATGAACTGATCAATATCCAGAGAAGAGGTGGATTGTTAGAGCTGGATCTAGAACTGGAATCTTAATTAAAATTCTTAATTACTGACACATACTGACAACAGAGCAAACAGCAGCTTAGTTTGGCATTAATCAAGCTATTTTTACATTAACTGCATTTTATTCTGTCACAACCAAATCTGTTTTGAAATACTTGCAAAACACAGAAAAAAAAAAGTTTTCAGCAAAACTTCAAACTAACGACTTAAAACCATGCTTAGGGCAAGAGTGTTAATTAATATTACTGTAGCAAAATTAATAAAGCAAGAGTGCTGAAGGACTGTTGAGGGGAGCTACTGTGCTGAAAATGTTTGGCTCTAATCAAAAGGCAGAAAAATGTGGCACAAATCTGTTCTTTTCTTGTTAAAGAATTGATCAGGTCATAATTTTTAAAACAGATATAAGCCCTCAGATTTTCCCCATATAAATCATTCAAAGTAACATTTGGTCTCACCAGTACACGGTCCTAAATGTAATTCTTCCTGAACTTGCAAACTGATGTCATTTTCCATCGACATCTGTCCCAATTCTGTGCCGGTAGAAGGTGATAGCAGCTAGCAAGATGGAAATCAGCTTTGACAATACCGCAACATCCAACACCTCATTAATATATGAAGCAAAATCTTTATCCGAGCCAAATTAAAAGGATCCTACAGGAGCTGTTTGAATGAGGACAAATAATGAATACTGATTTAGGCAAAATTTTTTAATTTAATCTGAACAACCAAGTAAAACAGCCTTCAAAACTTTTTAATTGATTATGATGTGGTAAGAAAGAGAAGCAGCGAGGTGTTTTCCTACCAGCTGGTCACTGCTGAACCTTTTGTTCCTCACAAGTCTTCCTACTGTTATGGACTTTAAGCACTGCTGCCCGGGGTCTTTCTGCATGGAGTTTGCATGTTCTCCATGAGCATGCGTGGGTTCTCTCCGGGTACTCCGGCTTCCTCCCACAGTCCAAAACCATGACTGTTAGGTTAATTGGCTTCTCTAAATTCTCCTTAGGTGTGTGTGAATGGTTTTATGTTTTGTTTGTCTCTGTGTTGCCCTGCGATGGACTGGTGACCTGTCTAGGGTGTCAGGTAATGGATGGAGGCCATGTGACTGGAGATACAATGAGGAATCTAGGAAATAATGGAGCCAAGCAGGTGAGCATTTCCCCAGAGGAGGTGTGAAAATAGAGAAAAAGTACAAGATCAAATGTGATAAAGTACAAAAAAATTGATAGCAGAAAAAGTAAGAGATAATGGATGATGTTTGATGTTTATAAAAGCAAGACCTAAATGCCTGGAGGCTGCCAAGTTGTCGTATGTAAGGATAAGTACAGCCAGCAGATGGCGACAGCAAACAATGTTTATGTCTGCTAATTGTGTCAGGATCAACACTGTTTTCATTCAAAAACATGACTTGGCAAATCTTTAAAGATTTAGTCTTTTATTTTAAATAAGATTATGTAGATTTTTTAGGAAGGACAAAAGACCAATAGATCAAATAGGCCCATTAAATAACCTTTGACATGTTGTACATCAGAGATAACAAGCAGACTAAAGGGAAGAATAACTCACTGTGTGAAGAAACTCCTGCAGGACTCAGGGTCGAACTGTCGTGTTTCCCATCAGTTCCTGTAGTTTTGTGTTGGAGGGAGGAAGGACTGTAAGGAGAATAAATCACAGAAACAAACAAATTAAAATAAGCAGCATTAATGGTCCCATTTTATGACATCATTAGGGGAAATTTGTCCTGAGTGGTCTGTAGCTACAGGGAGGGAAGGCATCTGCTGTGGATTGCAGTACAGAGATTTTTGTGTGGATCATATCCAGTTCTTAGATACCCCTGCTTTTTTACTAACATTGTTCTCTACGTCTCACAATCAAACCTGCAGCAAATAAGGAAGCACAACCTTCTACAGGAGCCACTGATCATTCTCTATACTCATAATATTTAGTTCTTTCTTCTCTCATCCGTCACTCTATAGTTTAGCTCATTAACATAACAGGAAAGATGCAAACTTCAGCAAACAATCAGGTCTACAGTAAAGATTACCTTGGCTAATAGACAGAAATTAGACAGAAATCCAGAAAAGCGACATTTTCTTCTGATTCTACTTCTGATTTAATCACAATGAATAGTCAGCTATTCTGCTCTTAAACAAAATAATCATGCTGCATGGCTAGAACCTCATTTTCTTTTTATTAAGAATAAAAGTTGCACATAGACACACATATTTCTTTTTGTATCCTTCATTCTATTTTATCTAAAGTTTTTGTATAACACTTTCAAATGTCTGAAACTAGGCCATTAGTGCTTAAAAGTCGGGTTCCTTATTTGATCTTTTGATCTCAAATAAATCTGATTCTGATTATTTAGTTTTTGGAGGCACAGCAAGGTTTGGTAAATTAATTTAGGAAAAGAACACAAACTCATAGAGGATAATGAAATAATGCAGAAACAAGAGTGAAGCTCCACCTGCTTGGACAGACCAGCTTGTCCCTCATCCTGTCCTCCTTTAGCTCCCTTTGGTTGGATGGTCCTCTAAAGGCAGTCTCCAGGAAACTGAGCGGTAGCCTTCTGTTCACCGGCTGGTTAATCTGAGCTCTGCTGCGCAGCGTCAGAGCCGCCCGGCTGCCCACATAGTAGTGAACCAGATCTGGGATGGAGTCAAAGGCCTCTCCTTCCAGGCTGTACTTGGTCCTGCTGTTAGCCTCAGCGGCCTGAATCACCGTCTTCCTGATGGGTAAGTGAATGGTTTCCTGCTCCCAGCGGCAGGTGAGAACGAAGCCGCCCTTTATGGACTTTGAGTCTCTGAGGAGGAAATCTCCTCCGTTCACCAGCAAACTTTCTGACACCTGCAAAGATTCAAGCCATCCAAAGCAACAAAAACAAATAAATATATATCAGTTTCTAGTGTTTTATTGGTCTTATAAGAGTAAAAACAAAATTCAACTCTTGTTAAAAGGCTTTGCTTTGGTCCTAAATAAACTTTCCTCAAATAAAAAATATAAAATATGACAGATTTAATGTCTCCAAAAAAAGTACAAGTTACTGTACACAAAAAAAACTGTTTTCTTAAAAAGAATATAAAATGTACCCCATTTCCTCATTATATTCTTGTTCCTAAGAACCAGCATTGTTTATTTCTAAATCAAAATATGACTCAATTTATCTGGTATAAATAAGGAGAATAAGAATTCATAATATTTATCAGTATTTTATTACTAGAGTGGGCATGCAATAAGCTTAGGTGTGGGAAGGACTCCCTCTTGTGGTCAAATTGCTGCATTGCGCTGCTGGTAAAACACTCTAAATGCAGGTTCAAACCCATAATTTTCTTTTAACATTCCAGATTTGTGTGGTTTATTGTATTAAAACTAGGAGACTTTTGTGGCATAAATTAATTATAAACCATCTAGAAGCTGTTAACCTAATTTAAAACATTTGCTATCAAAAAACAACTAATACAATCCCTCAAATTAAAATCTAATAATGCAGCACAGGATTTGTATTTCTTACTGCGGTCACTAATAAACACTGCAGAGACTTTACCTAGTAATCTCTAAGTGAGAGCGGATAAGTTTATGCATTAAAGCAAACCAACCAGGCTGCAGAGGCTAAGTTTGATGTTTACTGTTATAGACATTAAACATTTAAACTTTGGTTTCTGCAGGAAGGCCACTTTGGGCACGGGTCTAACTGGCATTGATTCAGTAGTGATCTGATTGATTTTACTGAGCTATAATTGACAGCCAGATGCATTATTTACAGTTGGCAAAGACTGTTTCCTTTAGAAGAGGTTTGCAGTTTCATTTAAATGTTTTTTTTTTAAGCTGGATTGTTTGAAAATCAATATCATTTAGTTGCAAACAAGTAGGTGGTCATGTTTTAATTTCATAACTTCCCACAGCCCTCAATGAGTCATGCAATGGTTTATGGTTTGTACAGTCTGTCTGACTGCTAACCAATATAGAGTTGTGTGAAAGGAAGTAAACCTTGTTTCATTTGCAAGATGTATGGGCAATATAAGGGGACAAAAAAACAACAGCTCTGTAGGTCTCAAGGTGAAATATTTATAACTGATAACAGTCATGCATGGTTGTAGAAAAATAATCTTTAAGCTAAAAAGAATATCCTTGAAAGACCATAAAACAATAGTGATGTTTCACCAAAATGCACAGAGGCTTGTTTGGAGAAAACGTATGAGCATGTACGCACATCTACTAACTGTAAAACACGGTGGTGGAGGAGTGGGGATTCAAACCTTTTCCTCCAGATGCAGGAGCGGGCTCTTTGTTGTCTGAGTGATCGTGAACTCATGTTCAAAAAGTATTTTAGTCTGTGTCACAGTTTAAGCTTGGCTCAAAGTGGCTCATCAATAGGAAAATACTGTAATCTCATATAAAGTCCAAATCTGAAACTTTTTAATAGTGTTACCCCGATCCAGCACTAAAATGGTGGTATCAGTAAGTACCAACAAATAGGACACCGATACCATTGTGAGAGCCAAAAGTTTATCCAACTTTTGTCACCCATTCCAGGTAGGCAATAAAAAGTTAACTTTGTATTATCTTTTTCCTGCTTCACAAAGNTTGTCACCCATTCCAGGTAGGCAATAAAAAGTTAACTTTGTATTATCTTTTTCCTGCTTCACAAAGGTAGGCTGCAGCTGGACAAAGCCATATTGGCTATTATTTAACATAGTATGCAGTTCTTCATATATATACGCATATAACACATCAATTTCAAACAGATGGTATCGGTGTCGGGGTCCAAAAATGGCATCTACACAACACTACTTTTTAAAACGGGTGGGCAACTCCAGTCCTGGAGGGTCTGTATCCTGCAACTTTTAGATATGTCCTTGACTTAACACACCTGAATCAAGTAAATAGATAATTAAAAGGACTCGGGAGAAATTGATTGCATACTGGGGAGGTAATTAAACCATTTGATTCAGGTGTGTTGGACCAAGGATGAATCTAAATGTTGCAGGAAACTGGCCCTCAAGGACTAGAGTTGCCCACCCATGTTTAAGCATAAAAATCTGAGATAGGACATTTACAAAAGCTGAGCTGTGGAAAATTTCCCCACAACAATGTGAGAAGGACAAAAACATCTGAGAATCACGTTGATGAAGGTGGTTCTACAAGCTGCTCCATTTTGAAGGCTTCAAACTCATTTTGTCTATAATTTAGTTTAGTTCTTGAAAAGTTTTATTGTCTGTTTACACTTGAGTCCTCTAGTTGATTAGTATCACAATATCTTCTGTTATGAGGTTTTACTCATTTTCATGACATATTTCTAGTATATAGAAACGCATGCTGACCTTTATTATTAATCTGAAGCTAATATTACTGTTTTTCAGTAGCTCAAGATAAAAGTTAACTGAATATCTTTATGCAGCTAGAACAAACCTCCCAGGGTATCGGCCCATGGTACCAGGCATGGCTCTTCAGGTTGGAGTGACTCAGCCTAAGCTCCTCCTCCAGCTGCTTCTTCATTTTTTCCGACGGTGGCTCCAACGAGAACATCTCCTTGGAGAACTTAAAGGCATCACAGGCAGAGAATTAGACAGAAATCCAGAATTTCAAACCAAAAATAAAAGAAAAACAAGAAGCTTAGTTGTTAGTTTGCTGCATGTTGTCTGCAGATAAAGTGGAGCCTTCCCTGCTTGATTTTTTTAAAATATATTACAGGACAAACAGTTAGGAAGGGAGAGGGAGGTAGGACAGACATCTCCGACATTCCCACACTGGCATCACAGCAGCGGCACTAAAGGCCCGAAGCGAGACCCCAGAACGCTGGAGTGCTGGCCTCGTCACCCCGGCAACGTCATTGTGAGATGGGGACATCACTCAGCAGCCTTTGTTTATTGTGTTTTTATACAAAACCAAAACAAGCAAAAGAAGCTACTGTATGTTAGGATTTAATGCTGAGGATGAGCTGGGAATGGTTCAGCCTGACACTTCCCACCCCCTCAGCCTGATGGTTCCTCCCTCTAAACAGAGAACCAGAAAGTTGGGAAACCTGCCAGGACTATTTCAAAACAGAGCAAGAGGACGTGTGTATGTCAGCGTGTGTTGGTACACATTTATGTCGTCTATTTGGGTCCTCTGTAGAATGATGGAGCTTATAGGGACCACAGTCTGGTCCTACTGCAGCACCCCACCCCATGTCTTGGATTACTTGTTAGATATAGATTTATGATTTAAGGGCTGAACATTTATGTAGTTACTTCACTGAATGGAAGTCAGAAAAAGGTCCTAAGGACTAAGGTATAAAGATTAAAGGTTAATGTCAATGCAAGTAAAGTCACTAAAAATATATTAAAACACATTTTATCATTTTATGGTTTTGTTAATCATCCAGATAAAAGGAAATTCTCCCGAATCTCTACGCTTGACTGTTTGATTTGTTATTTCTGTCTTTGTAGCACCAGATCAGGTCTTCCCTAACCATACAGTTTTACAGAAAAAGATTGTGTGGCAGAAAACAGGAAGTTAGGCAAGCAGACGCTGTTTAAAAAAAGCAACAAGGGAGAAAGTCATGGTTTGGATGAAAGAGGAAGATATGTATAAATGTTGAAGAGGCTCACTTTCACATATTCTCCACCACAGTTCGTCACTTTTGTGAACCTGTAAAACAAAAAAAAGAAAACAATTATTTCCCTATATTTTTATATCATTGATATACATTTAAAAAGAATGTACTCTGAAAGTTGTGCAGAAGGGATGAAGGTCCAAACTGGACATAATTTGGGTTTAAATCGAGGCCAGTGATGGGTACCTTTACACCTTATGAATACCCTTGGTCAGCATTCTATGCAGACACACACTCACACCAAAGGACAATTTAGACAAGCCAATTAAGCTAACAGTATTTTTTTCTTGGGGGTTGTTGGAGGATGCCGGAGTACCCAGAGAGAACCCATGCATGCATGGGGAGAACATGCAAAATCCAAGTAGAAAGAGCCCAGGCCAGGAATCTAACCCGAAACCTTCTTGCTGCAAGGTAGCATTGCTAAACTCTGTTCCAGACTGCAGCCAGATGCAACAATTCCTGTGACATATTTTCAGAAAAAGGTAAGATCAGGGGCGGTTCTAATAATTTGGGGGCCCTGAGCACAATTAATCTGTCGTTCCCCAATCTGAAAAATTAACAATACAGCATCTGTCTGTTTCTCTTTATTTCCAAAACAACATTTCAATATTATTGTTGTGTAAAAAGCTGCAACAAGGAAGAGAACAAGCTTTGCACCAACAATAGTTAATATATTTCCACACAAGATAACTTCATTTTACCAATCATGGAGGAAAATCAACCAAGACAACTTATTTCAAGAGGGGTTCAACAAGGAGGAAATAAATAAAGTACAATGCATAAAATGTACTATGTATCTAAGACTCATTCAATAAACACTCTTTAGAATTATCTGGAGACTTAATGAAATATACATAAATAACCCTCCTATATCTGCATTTTATGTTGTGCATTCCTATGAACAGAAAACTGAGATTTTGCTGAAATTTCTGGACATCTCAAAGAGAATATGACAAATAACTTTTTTTGATAACATTTATTTTTATTTAAAATGTGACATTGTCATGATTTGCTTCTATAATCAGCTAACAACTTCAATAATTGTAATATAATTATATAGCTAATAAATATGGAATGGGCATAATTAGTTACAGGATATAATTCTATAATTACTATAGAAGTAGCTTTTTTCTCTCTAATTTCTGTAGAATAAAATAACCAATAGAAGGATCTGTCTACAAATATAACCCATGTTTCTATTCTGTATTTATATAACTTTAAGTTGAGCACCAGCACACTATTAGTTTCTCACTTTAAGCACTGCCCTCGGTTAGATATCAATCAACTCTGTGAGGGTGTTTTTATTACTTATTGTTCCCTTGATGTTTTATCTGACTGTCGGATGATCCTCAAACACCCTAATATCTTCTCATACCTGTTGGAGTCGTGTCAAATTCTCAAAAACTGAATCCTTTACATATTCAACCCTGGTCTGGATCATATTTTATCCTTCCTTCTGTGGGGATAACAGTATCTATTGTCACATATTGTATGGAAATTAAAATAAAACTGAAAAAAACGTTGCAAAATTCACCACATTGACTGATTTTATTTCCTGTTTTATGCTGAGTATACCGCAGTTTTTCTGTCTTATTTTGTCGGCAGACATCTACACTCTCACCTCTTTTTCAGAAGCTACCTAATAAAAACAAACAGGAAGTTCACAGAAATGTTATTTAGGTAGCATCAGATATATATAAGTATATGTAAACAAAAAAACTGTTATACTTTTTCATGTACCTCTCATGGTACCTTACCAAATGACGCTTTGCAAAATCTAGTACTGTATCTTTTGTTTTGTTTTTACAGTAAATATTTTTAATTTGTCCTATCTGCTGCTCCCATGTTTAGGGTTTGCCACAACAAGTCATTACAAAGAGCTCAAAGATTATCTCAAAGTTTTAACTCCTGACAAGAGATGTCCTGATCTGATGCTGATATCAGAAATCCGTCCGATATTAGCAAAAAAAAAACGAATTCTGAAAACATATCAGCCTGCGTCTAAAAGGTTATTTGTTAACACGCTGATAGGAACATTCTGCTTCTTACTCGTTGGTTAATGATAAAAAGTTTAGTTTTTATCATATATATTGTTTATCTATTGTTCTTTTTGAGAATTATCACTTGATCAAGATGTTTCTATATAAGAGTTTTTTATTACAACTCCCACCAATGTTGTTTTCGTCAACGATGAAGATGATGAAATCATGTCGTTGACGCTCTTTTTTTCATAACAATAACGAAAATTGACGAGCTAAACATGGATCTTTGATGAGTAAAACATCACTAGCATAGGTTTGAGTTTTAGTCCCACATAGCAGTCAGACATATAAACTGCATCATCGTGCTGTAATCAGCTAAGCAAATAATCCTTGCTGCTGCGTCTTCATTGATCTGCCGCCCACCTGCCGTACAGCGCTACACGTTCTGCAGAAGCACAGATAGATCATGGCAGCAGCGACAGGGTCTGAGAAAATCATGGTCCCGTACTGCACGCTCAACTCTGAAAAACTGCTCTGATCTTCCATCTGTTCTTGTGCAGAAATGCGTCTTTGTGCGCCTAGCTCCGAGTCTGTGCTTCATGCTGCACTCTGATGGTTCTCTCTCAGCACTATGGCTCTTCTATCACTACTTAATAAACTATGTGGCTGATCATCCTCTGCCATGCGTAAAAAAATCACTTTGTCTAACTATCAAGATTTTATTTTATCTAGCTCAAAAGAGGTAATAATAAACATGCTTTAAGGAATCCCTAAATTACATCCAAATAAGTATTTGATTGCATATTGTTTATTTTGGGATAAAGAGCCAGATGGGAAGGTACATTGATCAATAAATATTTCTCTCATTGTTCTCAATTCTATTTATTTAAATATGATGTAAATGTTTCCTTTGATAGTTCAACATTTTATTTAACATATTAATTCAATTTAGGTCTGGATTGCCATTGCAGTACAAGGAAATTATATAGTTTCTCTCTGTATTTTTTTTATATCAAAACCCTATTAATTTAAATCTATTTTGACCCCTGAGCAGTGTCACTAAGGGGCAGATTCGAAGAAATAAAGCCAAAATTGCCAAAGTAGAAAGAGGAATGTTTTGTTCTTTGCTTTTTTAGAGCAATGAAGATTTTATGGATCTGTGTGTAATACATAATTCATGGCAGATCAGGAAGTGTTTGTCTAAAACCATTCCTTTATTCTACATTTTGTTAGCTTGTCTGTCTGCTATATTAACCAATATGATGTGTTGAACTAGATCTGCTCATTTAACAACTTTTGAGAGACACTTTATTTTAAAGCAGGCCGTTAATTCATAAAAAAAGTTAATTTTAATTCTGTAAATCAAAGTTTTCTGCCAACAGCAATGATGAACTATAGAGCAGCATTCTATACCAAGCTATTGTAGTATCTAGGCTAGAGCTGTCAGTCTGATAGAGAATGTGGTTGTTATTCGACATTGTAAAGATTAACTTAACATAAAACTGACTAAAACTAGACTAAAACCTTTTTAAGTTTTAGTCGACTAAAACCGACTAAAGCTAAATCTAAGATGGCTGTCAAAATCAACCTCCCACGATGATAAGGAATGTCTTCTTGTAGGGTGGGGCGGTCTCGCCTGCACCTACCTCCATCCAGTTTGTAAGACGCAGGTTATGAAGCATATGGGTGTTTAAAATAGCTGGATACAGAGAGCAGTTGGACAGTTATGGCTGCTATTCACAGGAGGGTACAAAAAAAGTTTACAAAGAAGATGCATAGTATCTGTCCACTGACATGATCATGTCTTCACCTTTGCTGGTACCAGTGTCCTACCTGCGTGTGCTTTGGGATGGAAATCTGCTGTTGCGTTCAGCAAAGTTCCACCTGGAAAACTTCCAGAACTTTTCCTCTGGAATAAAATGTAATTTATTCCTCAATTAATTAGACATTTTCTATGTAACAGAAAAATTATCTGTGACCAAGAGAAACGAACATTAGCAAAGATTGTTGGGCAAGATCGTTTTACCAGGAAATTTTAAAACCAGCAGCGACGCTTCACAATAGTCTCATTGTGGGAGATTATACAGATGTGGTTTAACCAGAAGTGGCTGATTTCCTCAGCTCTATGGTAACAACAGCAACAAGCTTACTCTCATACTGTAGCAACGCAGCAACATTTCAGTTAGATAATGAGTATCATGTTAAATTGTCGCTGTAGGGACATCTTCCTCTGCTAACACTTTAGAAAAATAGAAACACACAAAGGCCCCGTCCACACGAAGCCAAACCCTAGCCTAAACGCACAGATTTTTCACCAAACCAGCCTCTCATCCACACAAAGCCGGCGTTTCGGGGGTCTATAAACGATCTTTTTTTTATTAAGCCTTCAGAGTGGGAAGATTTTGAAACACCGTTTTCGCGTTTCCATCTTTAAGCTCTAACTGCATTTTTTTTTTACACGCATGCGTCATGCCGTCGCCTCTAAACACGCATGCGCGACACAGTATCACAACAACAATGGCGCCGTACTGTGTTGAATGGTTGCTGCTCATGCTACTCACCCTGCTGTCGGGCTTACAACAGAATCTTCTTCTTCTGGAATATCTCCAGGAAGAACAGAGCAATATCGACGACATAGTTCAGCACCTGAATTTGACTGAACCACGAAAATGGACCCGCAGGGCAACCATGTATAAATATTAGTGAGCAAGCCCAACATTTCGTCGCCTATTTTTGCTCCGGCACCACAGCGCCACTTACAGGCCTGGCATACATTTTGCAGCGTTTTCATGCATTCGTGTGGACGATCACATTTATTTTACGTCTCCGTCTTTACGACAAACGTTCTGGAAAATATTAGCGTTTCGTGTTCGTTTTGACTTCGTGTGGACAGGGCCAAAGACACAGTAACTCTTCAATGGCAAAAGCTGTCAAGAAAACCATAAAGTGGAAAACACAAAGATATCTGATCATCAGACTAAGTTTATCTATATATTAGCCTTAGCAAGTTTATTTTTTCTCATGTACTGGTTGTTAATTGAAGGGTATCTATC